TTTTTGACTTTTTTTTTTCTTCAATGAAATAAACTTTGGGAGTCCATCAGTCTCTACAGTATTAGTCTCCAGTGCTACCCTCCCCAAAAACCACACCAAAATCCATATTGCTTTTGGCAGCAGCTCGCTTAAGGAATTCCAGCCGTTCGGCAAGGCACGACCTCTCATTCCTGGAACTATCTTTGATCGAGTTGTGTGTTCTCACTCAGCCCACACTTGATCCCTCTAAACCAGTTCTGAGGTGTCTTTTCCTTCCTCCCACCCGATGTGCAATAAATCTAGAAAAATCTCAATATAAACCCCAAAAACCCAACCGCATGCCTCGAATATCAGGGACATTTTCTTTTAATAATAATAACAAAAAAAAAAAAGGTTGATGAAACCAGCAATGATCCTCCAAAGGCAGTTTCACACGCCAATTAAAAGAAGAAGAGACAGGGGTCTTCTCAAACTGAAAGGAAGGACATATCACCACATCTCAGCTTACGGATCGCAGAAAGCCTTGACAGCCTCCAGGGAGAATGGTTCCAACCGGTCAAAACCTCGCTCTGCTTCCCGTCCGTGCAGCACAGAAAATTTGTTTAGTATTTGTAACAGTTGGGCTGACTTTAAATAAGGTATTTAAAATACCGGGAGGGGGGAATGAACAACAAATAGAAAATGGGGATCGTGGCGATCAGTGCAAGCGTCGAGGCCAGCGTCCCTCCCTTCCCGCGCTTCCCCCAGGGCTTCAGAGCGAGGAGATGGAGGAAAAACAAAACTCCGAGGCGTCTTTTCTAAAACTCAGGACAGAAACCCACGTTTATTCAAAAAGCCTCTGGGACACGGAGGTGGGAACCGCAGCCCAAGGGCTGACGATCCAGGAGGTGGTCGCCTTCCCGCTGGCTCTGCCTGCCCACGAGCTGCAGGAGGAGAAGCCCACGCGTTCGAGCGGCCACGCTTCTGGCCAGTCGTCTTCTCGGCAAAGCCAGCGGAGGCGATCAGGCAGGAAAGCCGATCAGCCGACCCAAACAGGGCTGGTTTGTAAAAAACAACCCCCAGATCATCAATTTAGGCAATACTCCAAAGCCTGCCCTTCTGTCAGCCTCTCCCTGCTCTCAGAGGCCACCAGCTCCTGATTTTGGCTTCTCACGGGCACGGTCATTCTGGTAAAGGTGAAGGAAACCCATTTAGAGTTTCTCAGTTGTGAATATTCTTCCTTCAGCAGAGCCTCTGCCCCCCCGCTGTGGCAAATGGACTAAAAAAACTAGATCCTAATGTTAATACTGCTCATTTTTTTACGGCGCTTTGCCAAGAAAGATGACGTTCAAAGAGACTTATCGTGTTCTTGGGGCTATTGAGGATTAAAGGTATGAACCGAGGGCAAAAAAATAAAATACTGATCGCCTTGGGATCTGACCTAAACCTTGGAACCTGACCTAAACCTGTCCCAAAGGGCTTTCAGCGAGCAGAAAGACGGTTTAGTGGGGCCGTGACTCACTCTACATTTATAAATTGGCAACAAAATTGTGAATACCATGAGGTGTCACTCAGAATGCACAAAAAAACTGTTGAGTTGCAGGTTTAGAGATTAATGAGGGGCTCCCCAGACATGCTCCACGATCCCAGGACCCTTTGAAATTCAGCGACGGACGCTTCGGAAAGCGGCCACCTGCTGCTCGGGAAGCGACCCGAGCTGATTCCTCCCTGACGGGATTTCCGAAGCGCGACCTGAACACGACTCTCTGGGGAGACACGGAGCGGCTCTGCTTGGGAACCACCGCGTGAGGCTGGAGAGCTTCGCCTCCTTGGAGCACGCTGCCACCGGGAAGGCTTGTTTCTGCAGGCAGTAATACTGAGGTACCGAGAAAACACTTGGCTCCTTGAGACACTGCACGAGCTTCCTGCTGCTGCTAAATTAAATCGACTTTGCCTTAGAAAGAGCGTCTTTAATAAGAATACTACCCAAAGTATCTTTGTCCTAGAGAAGCGCGCCATCCAGCAGTTCCTTAAAAGCATCTTGTCCTTTACAAGTATTCTGTAGAAATATTTATGCATTTTTTAAACAAAAAAAAGGAGTCTCGAGTGCTTTAGAAGCAGGTTGCTCTGCTCCCCTGCTTGGAAAGTGGCCGCCGGGCAGCGCCGCGCTCCGTCTCGAGGGCTAAATCGAGGAATCCACGGTGAAGTGCCCGTTCTGAGAAAGTGTCCTGCGATCCGCCGTGTTCAGCTTCACCGCCGTGGGCGTGTATTTGGAATTCCTGTAACACACAAAGCAGAGGATCCTCCGGAAGGTGCTGCGCATCTCGTTGTCCCTGTAAGAGTAGACGATAGCGTTGATGAGCGAGTTGACCTCTGCCAGCAAGAGGACGTATTTCTCCACAGCCAGAACGTTGCAGCTCTTGCAGCCCAAGCCATCCAGGAGGAGCACGACTTGGCCTGGAGTCCAGCAGATGACAAAAGCACCTGGGGAGAGAAGAATCCTTGTTAGAGAAAAAAAAGAAAAGAAAACAAAAAGAAAAGAAAAGAAGAAAAAGCCGTTTCCTGGCCCTGGCAATCCCTCGGTGGAATCGCTGGTCATTTTTCTGGTGAAAAGAAACATTAAACAGGGCAGAAAAAAACCAACAAACCAAGCTGCTCTGGAGGAGGACTGAGGATTCAACCAGCAAACACTAGGAACGGAGGCACTGGGGTGTTTTCCCCCCTCTTTTCCCCACCCCGCTCGCTCACAACACCCTCGTTACTTCCCCTCGTTGCAAAGACAAAGCGTTTCCGCGCTGCCCCCTCCAGAAAGGGGAACCGGTTGTAGAAATTAGAGAAGGCTCAGAGAAATACAGCTTGAACGA